GCGACCAAAAGCATTTTCTTCTGTACTTCTGTAGGATAGCAAGCAAGCAAAGCATTTTATTTTTCATTTTTTGCAGGGAATTTTTATCTCTTGTTTGCAAGTAATCTCGTAATATGCAACATTCTCGAGTGAGGAAATTGATAGTAGGTAAACTCATACACATATAGAGCGACTTAAGGTATTTTCACTACTTTATTCAGAAGTTAAAATTCGGGGTGCAAACAATGTGGGAAAAAATGAGTTGAATGACTGACTTTGGCATAAATTTTGAGTGGGACCTGATTGCTTATTTTGGAAGATCAAGATTGATTTGTGTTTTCCTTCGTGAAAATATCGAAATTATAGGAGCTTAAATTGTGTTTATGCAAGCATTGGTTGAAAGTTCATCCGCTATTTTATTGCTTCTTGTAATTTTAAATTATTTGTTCTACTTTTGCTAGTATTGATAAATTTATTTTAATCTGTAATATTGTGGGTAACAGAAAAAATATTTGGAGTTGACAATATATTCATGTAGCATACCATGTCGTATTAAATACAACTATTGTTTTATCTTTCATTCGCTAAAAATACGTGTTCCATACGATATCTTGTTCTCATAGACCATAGTTGAATATATAATCTGTAATATTGTGGGTAACAAACAGTACTATAGGCAGCCTTGAATCCTGAATAGGCGAGGGCCTCCATAATAATACTTTGAATACATATCGATAAATTTATAAATTGTATATAGAATATCTTTTAATAAAGTAGGTTTAAAACTCCAAAAATTTCAAGACTTACCATATCAGAATCGACCTGGGTACAAATACAATCATCACTATATCGTGAAATCCACTACAAGCCTAGACCAAAGGCCCTATTCCCTTTTCAATTATGTTTCTATATTATAGAGGCGGATTTGTCGAACCATTAGTTGCTTATGTTCGATTCAAAAGCATGGCTTCCTAGACAACGTCACATAATGTCAAAAGTCCAAAGCCATCCAACTCATCAGTGAAATGGTTTAAAGGGATTCAAACAATTGAAATTCTTAGTTTCAAGTCCAAAAGAAAAGGGTTAGTCGCATGTTGGGCATATTGTGACTCACTTTTGAAGGTATTTGTAGCTCCATAATGTTTTAGTTTATAAACAAGAAACATGGCTTCATCGTCACAGCTAGTCCAAATTCCAAAGTCAACATGTTACATTTTATTCTTTAAACATCTAAAGTACGTGAATTCTTTTTTGTTATTAATTGATTTATAAAACAAAACATCTTATAACCTCATGTATTCTCTATGTTAATAAGCAAACAGCCAGAGTGAAGTCCATTTATTCAGAGTAACAGTAATCCAAAAAAAACTTCGCAGTTCATACTTGAAAATTGAACCTTGTTATACGTACATTATGATGTACACTTTAGTTTACACTTTACAATGCGGTATTATCCTATTGGATGGTTTAAATTTCAAACAATTTTTCTATCCAATTGACTATTGACAACAATGTAAGTGTCAATCATAGTGTCAAAAATCAATATACAAATAGCAAAGTTTCATTTCCATTTCTTGTATGGTATGTCTAATTTTCCCCAACTATCAACACTACAACAGGCCAATTTTTACAAAATGGGTTAAGGGCCAGAGCCCATTGACGCCCCCATCTGTAACTAATAACTATCGTGCTCCAAACAAGAGTCGCTGGTTTATTTAAGCTAAGCTTAAGAGTAATATTTCTTGTACATAATCATTTACAAATTGTGAGAGAGAGAGAGAGAGAGAGAGAGAGAGAGAGAGCAAAACAAATAAAAAAAATAAAAAAAAGTTTGAAAGAGAGAGAGAAAAGAAAATAAGTTAAATTCACAACTTTTCAACTATACATTTCAACAAATTTTAATAAAAATCTGATTTTAATCTCCACCCAATAGGGGCATAATATGATGTCATCAATACATACATCTGTAAATGATTGTGTACAAACAACATTACTCAAACCTAATCATATATAATTAAATAATTAATGATTACATCATATCACAATCACGTTGATTGAAAATACTGTTCTATGGGGAATGCTATGTGTACAGAAATACCACGATCAACACAAAATAGGGGTGGGGGATTTTTTTGCCATTTTTTTATCACAACCTAGGGCCACACATTGTGAGTAACTGGCTGAATTCTTTGAGCCATTTTTTTGTACGAATGACTTTATACTTGTTATATGGGGATGGCGGAGAGAATGGGGATAAGGTCTTATAGACAGGGTGCTCTACCATGAATAAAATTGATCAAACCCCGTGGATATATTTTTTTTTTAAATTTTTTTTAATAAGTAACAGAAGAAATTTTGATAACGGATCAATTCAAATAACATAAATCAGGGGACCATTTCAGAAAAGGTAAAATAAATAATTTACGAAATTTTGATAATATTTAAATCCTTTAACATTTGATTTATCAGTTTTGGGTTGGGGCCTAATGTTTTCAAAAATAACTAAATTTATCTTGCTAGGTGTCAAGCCGTGACAATATTTAGTATCGTAAATTTATGTATCTCAATTCCATGTCCTTCGAGAATAAACATGTCATCTCACGGCAGTCGATATATATATATATATATATATATATATATATATATATATATATATCATG